TATCAGGCAATTTTGACAATTTTTCATTATTATATGCACTATATCAAAAATTCCGAATATTTATGACGACCACTGTATACTGGTAAATTTTTATATTTTTGAACAAAGTTTGATGTAGTATTATTCTAGGTCTAGGATTGTAGCCATGCAATGCGTGAGGATAAAATTTTTTTGGAGGAATATCACAGAGCATTGCGACTCGTAAACATAGTGTGCAACCAAATCAATGCGCATGCTGATAAATTCACAACCTTGTTATAGCTATGCATTTATTAGTCACCATTTTATTATAAAATGTAATAGATTTTTGTTTCTCCTGCCCCCGTGAACATAACGAGATGCGACTGTATTGTATAAATCATGCGACTATATTATAATCACCTGTTTTAAATATCTTACCTGAGGGAGGGGGGAACACTCAATAGTAAAGGATATTACGTAAAAAGGTCAGCGTTCTAACAAATTCATTCAGTGAAACATACGAGTTCACATACATGTATTAATATGAATTTTTTACTGTATTACATCCAAACATTAAATAGAACGATATCATAAATTTGACGGATTCACATTTAGATACCATCCGGGGCTCTATAAAGAACTTACGTAATTACCAATTAGAGATATTTAGTTTACATAATTTGTTATAAAGAAACACTTTTTTCATTAAAGCACCATTCATTCAATGAATACCCCAATTCTTTATTCCTCGCTAACATTGTCAAAGAAAGTCCGATAATAAAGCATATTTGGAATATTACATAAAATAGCACAGTTGGAAAATAGTTTACGAATCGAATGTTTCTTATTTTTCCTAGATCTATAGAGGTTGATATATGCCACATACATGTATTTAGACTGCATTTACAATTTGCTAGTGATTAATTTTTTTTAATATGAAACTATTAATAAGAAATGATTTACATGTACTTGTAACAACCTTGTGATATAAATCAGAAATACATGTACATGTAATACAATTCATGCATGTTCGCAGTAATATTGTAGCCTGTTACATGCAACGAAACATTAATATTAATATGCGAACAATACGAATGTAGAAATGCGCGACTCAAGCTAATGAGGTTTTTTCTGTGTATGTTCCAGTGGTGGAATCATTGTTGTGTTGTGATTTGTTCTTTAAGCCTTCGTATAAAGAACTTCTTTTTATGTTGGAATAAAGCTTAAAAGGAATGCACCCTTAATATTAGTTAACCCACGCACAATCAACCTTCGATTTCAATAAATATTGTAAAGTCTTTCTATAATCACCCCCGCGCTCTCCATTGTTTATTGGACCTGGATACTTTAATATAGTATGCTAATTGGATATATAGTAGTTGTTCTCTGGAAATCCGGCTTATGTAAAACACTAACCAAAAACCTTAAAAAACATAATGTATAAATATATTTGAATATAAATTTTATTTTAACCCAAAAATTTATTAATAAAATATAATGTTGTGATGAATCAGGGATTTGTTCTTTTACATATAATAATTTGGCATTCGACAAGCCAGAGTAATATTTTACGATACAGCGAATTAAACTGGTCTTTTAGTTATTTTCTTACGTCAAAAGTAACTAGATGCCAAACCAAAAAATTGATTATAAATCCGAACAAATATTAATTTGATACAGATTTGATTTTAATAAATTTACAGCTGAGCAGCTAATTTGTTCATATCTCTATATGTTTACAGTGTCTGATTTTGTTAACTTGTACTTATTAATTGAAAATAAAATATAGATTACATAAAAATTTTTATGATAATATTATCAATTATGTGATTGCAAGAATGGCAAGAATAAAATCAATCTTCCATATATTATCTGTAGTGCTAGTCATTTGATTCAATCAATGCCTCTGCACGTTTTTTTATTACGCTATGTAGTTAATAATAAACTAATTATTTGAAAAATTATGAATAAAGAATTAATTTCTTACATATATTGTACCGATAAAATTCATGACTTTGTCTTATTAAGTTAATAAATAGTTTCGAATAATAAATATAAAATTAAACAAGAATAAATTGATTATTTGAATAGTTAATTAAAATAAGTTTAAAAAATAATTACTTATTAAGAATAAAATTATTATAAATAAATATGTCAAGATATATTAATTAATTATTAATAGCTTATATACAGTATTATAATTTTTATAGAATTTATTTATCAAGAAAATATACTTATATAAAGATTTTAATAAAAATTTGATAATTTTTAAATAATTTATAATATTGATTTAAAATAAGTTGTTTTATATTTCCAAGTTAACTTAAATTTTTATTTAGAATGAAAATATAATAAATTAATAATATATAATAATTAAAATAAAAAATAATAAAATTTAAAGTATATTTTATAAAATTATTAATAAATATTTAAAGTTTATAATTTAAAGAAATTATCTATAGTCAGTGACAAAAGAACTTCCAGTAACGATCGAAATCCCGAACGTTCATAAGCCCGAAAGAATGAAATCCCGAATGAACATCCCGAAAGATCGAGGAACGGCATCCGAATTACAAAATCCGAAAGATCGAAATCTCGAATGAACGACATCCCGAAATCCCGTGATAACTTTTGTATTTTATGAAGTTTAGAATACATGTACTATACTTTCGAGATTTCGTTCATTCGGAATTTCGATCTTTCGGGATGTCGTTCATTTGGGATTTTGTTCATTTGGGATGTCATTCATTCGGAATTTCGTTCATTTGGGGTGTCGTTCATTCTGGATTTCGATCATTCGGGATGTCGTTCATTTGGGATTTTGTTCATTTGGGATGTCATTCATTCGGAATTTCGTTCATTTGGGGTGTCGTTCATTCTGGATTTCGATCATTCGGGATTTCGTAGCAGACCCAAAATCTTTAACTTTTTTTAATTAAATAAAATTTATAAAGAGCAATTACAAAAAATATCACATTTTAAAGAAATATTCAAAGTTTTCAAAGAAAATCATTTTAATTTGCTAGTCAAGATGTATACAATGATATCAATGAGAACGTTCAAAATCCCGAAGAACACAACCCAAACTTTCATAAGCCCAAATACGAAATCCCGAAAGAACGGCATTCCGAATGATCGAACCCCGAAGGAACGGCTTCCGAAGATCAAAATCCTGAAATCCAGAAAGTATAATATCCTAAATGCATGAAATATCAAATTATCACGATTTTGAGATTTTGTGTATTCGGGATTTCGATCATTCAGGATATCGTTCCAACGAGTTGGGGTTAATTTTTAGACATTAAACATAAAGCTATCAGTATCAGGTATATCTTATGCAATTTTATATTGAATGTAACAAGGGATACTTCACATACTTAAATCCTCGATGAATCATAGTTTCCATATATAAATAAGTACCCGTAATATTAACAACAGTGAAATAGAGGCAAAAATATCCTAATCATTTAAATCCAAGACAGCCATAAACAAAATTGTATTGTTTGTACTAACACCATCGAATTTCTGCTGATCCTCTTCTTCTCATATCCATCAAAATTATCAATGAGCAAAGTAAAAGCTAACAATATATTTTATTACTTTTATCCAAGTAATACCGTATTTTACCAAGGCAAATGCCTCAGGGACTTTTCCATGATACGTTCTCGACATGTATTTATGGAAACACAGTACGATGTGAGAAAACAAAGTACTTGGGATATAAAGGTAGTATTATAATATATACCCCCCACCAAAAGTTTTAAATGATTAATATTTTTCTAAAAAATTAGCTAAATTTCAAAACGAATTTTTTCAATAAGATTTATATTTTCTAAATTCTCTGGTTGTATATTTTTTAAATTAGCATTAATACATTGTGGGATTTCCTTTACCTTTAATTACAGCTTCAACTCTTCATGGCATACTATTTACTAAATTTGTTAAAACGTTATCCCTTATTTTTTGGTAAAGGTTTTTGCCCTTCCAAGGTGATCCATAAATGCTTAATTGGGTTGAGATCTGGGCTCTTGGCAGGCTGTGGAAGAGATGATATCAGATTATTATCTTTTCATGTAAGTACATTATTTGCTCTATGTACAGGAACATTATCATCTTGGAAAGTAAAGACAATATTTTCATCCAGCCTTTCTATAAAAGGTAATAAAGGAGTCTCTAACAAGTTTTTATATACCCCACCTGTAATTTTTCCATCCAGTACCACCATGATCTAAGCTTATTTTTAACAAAACAATCACAAATTATCACATCATCATTGCCAGACTTTACTGTAGGAACTAAATAATTCTCAGCATATTTTTCAAGAAACTTATGTCAAACCCATTGTTATCCATCATTTTCAAGTAAAAGAAACTGGGGTTCATTATTCCAGATGATTTTATCCCATTCTTCTTCCCAAAATTTGCGAACTTGTTTTTAAGCATTTTTTCTTAATATCTTCTGAAATAAAAGATTTTCTTTTTCCAATACAGCTAAAATAATCATGCTTATATAGTACACATCTGGCAGTACTAATACTAATTGGGTAAGTCCAAGTTTATTAAAATATTCAGTAATTTCTTCAAGGAAATCTTTTCTATCTTTTTTAGTTTCACGTGTAAGTATTCTTTCTTCACAATCATTTAAAAGGGATGATCTTCCAGAATGAGAAAGAGTATCAGTAAGGCCTTCTTCACAGAATTTTTATGACATCCTGACAAGTACTTCTGTGTATGTCTAAAATTCTAGAAATGCAGAAGCTTCATGACATCCTCGTAAAGTCCAATGATCATTCCACATTCAAAAATAGTTAACTTCTGTTGTTTTGACAGTTTTAAAGATATTTAGATGATAAAGTTCAAAAAAAATTTTATTTTTAAAAATGTAGGTTTTTAGCTATTCGTGAAAAAAAGTTTTTTTTAAATTGGGTTAGATCTACAGTAAGAAATTCCAATTTTAAAAAAGAATAATTTTATTTATCGATCTCTAGGTAGCGGATCCTGAGTTTATGTTAACTCTTTAAACTTTCTACAATTAAAATATCTATTGTTCTACATACTGTAAAAGAAAGAGTCATCGAATTAGATAATTTCAGCTTCGATAATAATTCAATTTATTAATATACATGTATCTAGTTGCACAATATTTTTACTTAGATACATTCTTGTCACACATTTGAAGGTCTTCATTGTTTTTATGATTATAAAGTTTTTTCATATGTCACATGTAATTAACAAATAGGAAACTGGAATGACGAAATTCTAAAATATAATATTTTACTCGAATTATGCATTATACTGTAAAACCTTTCATAGTTGCATTTGAAAATTATAATTCACAAATTAGTAATTGGATCAATTGCATATTCATTACAATAGTGCATAAAAAACAAGAATTTAATTAGTTTAAATGAATCGTCATTTAAATTTCCGAGTAAATTATAAATTTAAACAAGAACTTTCTATAAAAGGTGATTTTACGATAACGGAACGAAGTGGTATCCTTGAAGTCTTAAAAATCAGACATTTGATGTAGCATTGGATAAATAGGAAAGTTGATAAAGAATGCGTTTTTACGGTATAATGAATAATTATTATATTCGTGATAACTTCCGATATATAATAACATTGACTTTTCGTGCTATACACCTTCGTCACAATACCCCTTTTTACCTTATGATAAGAAATTTTTTACATCGATCACCACTTCAAAAAGAGCTTATTAGCATGTATTTTGGATCTAGCTTCTATTTAAAAATAATTTATATTTTTATAATTTCCTTTATTTGCAAAAATAGCTATTTTAAGTGTATATATAGACCGGGTGTTGTCATTATGGGGTTACTGAGTGCATAAATAATAAATAAACAAGGGTTGGGCGTAAGGAATATCCCTTCCATAATTCTTTAAAATCAGATGCTTTTTCATACAACAAGGGTTCCAAATATGTAAGTGATTATAATGTTTATTTACTTCTATTTAGTAGCCATGACGTCAATTTAGCACGGACGTTTTCCATGACCAATTTAATTTACTTTTTGTCATCTGAATTTTATCTTTTCATTACTTTATTTATTTATTGGTTTTTAAAAACGACGCATCCCTACACTACCAATAATGATGAAATTACATACATGGACTTGATGTAATACAAAATCGTTTTTGGTAAAAACGATTTTTTTTGGTACATGTACATGTATAAAAGATCATGCTTTAATAATCTATTTTTTTCATTTACATACTAATTTCTCTGATTGACGCAGGAAAATCCATCGATGAAATTGATTACGTTATATTGTACTACCAATAAAATGGGAAAATAGGTAAAAAAAATTCTCATAAATTCTCATATCGCTATACTTAATATTTTTTGAGAAATTATTTATTCAATTGTTAGATTCCCCTTTACACAACACAACTCAGTAAACGATATAAACAAGCACTGTCATGGATTTTATACGTGTGAATCCTGCTACGGGGTGGGATTTTAAATAAAATAAATAGAATAGATTATTATATTATATATAAATATAAATATTATATATAAATATAAATATTATATATTTATATAAATATACACATATACATATATGTAATAATAATAATTGTTCCCTAATACTGAATTAAACGATTATTGATTTTTAAAATATAAATAAGACCTGACAATATATATTATTAATATTCGCGGTTTTGATGTCTTGAAACTAAACTAATTAATCAATGATTATATTTAGAAAATAATACCAATAAAATAAAATAAAATAATAATATTCTTTTAAATTTAAAATTACAAAAATCGTAACCATCCCATCTTGTCCTCACACATATATATAAGCTTAAAAGATACAGTCAAAAAAGATAAAACCTCATCTATTACATGTACTCAAAAGCGCTTTATGCACACATATCATTCATTTCAAAATTTTTAATCCACGTGGTTCTCTACCTAGGTGATACTCTATTGCAAACATAAAATTTCTTCTTCAATATGCCGCCGATTCGCCAACATCATCAACAATTATCTAACGTTGAAGCAGCAGAAGATATTCCACCAAGTTCATCTTCCGATCCAATCGATAATAATAATAATAATAATAACAATAATAATAATAATAATAACAAGAATAAAGATAAAAATCGACGAGGCAGACGCTCGCCAAGTATAGATACAAGAGCGTCAAGAGTCGGCGTAACTAATTTTATAAATGAAGTTAAAAATTTACATCCTGGTGAATCGAGAAATTATTTTCCGGTTACTCAAGAAATGCTTGAAGAATACATTGATTCAAAAAGAAAAGCATTAATAAAAGCAGGATCACTTGAACAATATCTCCAACAAATAAAAGCTTATAATATCGCATTAGGATTTGGTTGGCAAGGTCAAATATTTGATCCAATAATTAAGAAAGCTTTGGACGAACTAAGAGCTTATGAAGAAAAAAAATGGAAAAATTTAATAATTCATCGCCAAACTCATCTTCAACAAGAAGTCACATTTACGCATATCAATTCTATGGATTATATAAGAGTTGCTCCGACTGTTAGCAGTGCGATATCTGCTGCAGAAGTTATAAATATGCTAGAAGGAATGGATGCTGATGGTGATAATAATAAGAATAATGACAATATCAATAATGAAGAAGCAAGGCAAATATTCAATAATAACGAATTTCCTATTCAAAATCACCCATCTTCTCGTAATGGTAGATATATAAATTATATTTATCTTATTTAAAATTTTTATAATAATTCTAACTTCTAACTAATTAAAAATTTAGATCATTTGAACATGATTACATTAGTCTGTTTTGACGATACATTCATTCCATATTCAATTATGGATAAACAAGTAAATGTGCCGCTCGAAAATTTAAATTCAACTGATTCATTACAGAATTTATATCAACTCTATGCAAATATTGCATCACTAAGCTTGCCTTCTCAATGGGATCCCGTTGATACTTCTCAACTCCATTATCGAATTGGAAATTGGAATAATTCATTGCATTTCGGATTAACTAATGGAACAGCATTCGATTGTTTCTGGAAAACTTTCATTGAAAATATTAACGAACAAGAAAAACAAGTTCAATTAATTGTATATAAAAAACCAAGAAGCTTACATAGCACAGGTAAATAGTCCCATTTCTTATTATTTTTGCGCGTGCACATCAATTTGCTTGGCCACGATGTTTTTATTTGAAAAACTATAAAGAAGGGTCTAAAAAAATATACGAATTGTGATTTAAGGAACAAGTTTATTAACGTGCAGCAATCTCTTTGTTATCAAAATGCATTCCAATGAACTCACGAAATAATATGCAAAACTAATTTACCGTCTTATTTTCCTATTTGAATGCTACCTTAAATCATTGTATCCAGCTAATATATCTTCTTCACCACAACCAAGCCACGTTTTTTACGAATCGACATCAGGTGAAAATAAATCATAATTTATTAGTCAACTTATATTAATATAAATTATATAAATTATCCATTCATGCGTAATTGTTTGCATCATTGACTAGAAACAATCTTAAAATCAGTGACGATAAGATCCAGGTCAAAGGTATACAAGCAAAAAATTGCTATCGGTGAGAACACAAGCTTCGAATCATTAATTGGTTTTGCCACTAATAAAGTGATACCACCAGCGGGAAAACAATTTGTGATTCG